TTCCCCCCACTGCCCCCGCATGCGGAAGGAGCTGCAGCTGTGGGGCTTCCCGGGGCCATGGGACGGGAACCCGTGGGGAACCCGTGGGCTCCCTGGGGCAGGGCAGGCACAGCCACCACCCCCAGGGAGGCTGGGGGTCCCATGTGCTGCTTCTGCTGCTGTTTTTGGTGCCCAGAATAGGGCAGGATGGGCCCCTGGGACCCGCGGGCATCCGTGAAAGAGGGGAGGGCGTGGGCAGCTCCCTGCCTCCCAGAGCCAAGGATGCTTTCTGAGCCTAAAACAAGCAGCGAGACATGCGTTACTCAAGTCTTTTCATCCCTTTTATTGATAGAGAGCTTCCAATATAATTCCATAATATATTTACATACCCAACATTTATACTTCAGAATTGCACTTTATTGGTCACACTCACAGTATAAAGTACAATTACGTACAAACACAGTAGATAAGCACTCTCCAGCAGTACATCTGGGTGACCAGACCCATCACATGTGTCACAGCATCGACAGTTCCTTCCATTTGTTTATGGGGAGATCACGTCAGGCTTATCCCCACATCAGGCGTTAAATCATTTGGAAAAAACACTCTGGACTATGCAGTGGGAACAATTGTGCTGCGATTAAAGCAACAAAGCAGAACACAGCACTAAGCTATGGGGCTTGATGTTTGTGTTCTGTGCATCTAGTCACTTGCATGGTTTACGATAAGATATAAAAATAACCAACAACCTGCAAGTGCTTGTTCTGCAAAACTGGCTTCTGAAAACAGGACAGAGCTCTGCCGGGAAGGGAGAACCTTGTGGGTCTATCTGGAAGAAGATTACCGTGGTGATGGAAATGGCTGTTTGTGTTCTTCCCTCTAACTAGATGCAGGTTCCTGTTAACAGGAAAGCATTGGTGAAAATGCAGAAACAAAAAGCGTGTAGTAGACACATTTTGAACACTTCCCATTCCCAGCTGCACATCAGGAGAAGCTCACAGACGGGTCACTTACCTCGGCATCAGACAAAACCATGAACCTCATAACCTTGCTGTACCAGCAGCTAACAGTCCCAGTGTCTCAATCTGTATTCAAGCAATTACCGAACACAAGTTTAAATCTCTCACAGTTTTCTTTCCCTTATAAATAGGATTCCCAGGAAGCCTTCAAATCTTTACTTCATTTTACAAGATGCTACAGACCTCTTTGTCTTATTAAATGATCGTTTAGCAAGGCTGAGTAAAACCAGGAAAGGACACAGCACCCCAACGGGGGCTTTCTATCAGCCAGACAAATCAAGGGCGCTTTTGCCGGTGTCTTTGGTTTCGACAAGGTGAGTGAGGTCCCATCATCTGAGCTGCCCTCATGTCACCGCCAAAGCCCGACTCGAGCTGGGGACCGCACCCTTCCTCACCCACCTCAACACAACAATCAGCCAGGTCAGGTCAGACAGGATGAAAACAGTGCACAAAAGAAATCGGGCTTGTGTCCTGCACAGCCCCACCTGAAAAAGCCTTTTAGGTGCAGATTCAGCCAGCAATTCCCTGCCCCAGAGTCACCCCATGCAGGCGGCATGTGAGCAGAAAGTGAAAAGGTTCACACGCAGCAACTTTCTGATGTTCGGTGACATCCGCCAAGACACCTGCGAGTTCTGCATCCCACCTGGACACCAGCTGCTGGCGGCTGAGCTCTGCTGCCCCCGAGCGCCGACCCGGCTGGGCTCCTCCCGGGGCTCTCAGCCCGCCGAAAGCATCCCCCATTCGAGAGAAGCGTTGAGTCGCTGCAGGGACAGGAAGGGTGTTTCCGCAAGAAAAGCCTCGAGGTGATACAGAGATAGTGCCAGGGCAGAGACCTTCAGTTTAAACCTAATTTTAGCACATCCAGGAAGAGTCAGAATAGCAGCTCTTTGTATTAAGGCATTTTTTTCTCTCTGGTAAAATTACCGATCTCTAAGGATCGCTGTTTGCACAGTGCTTCAGACTTGCCTTGAAGTAACAGCCACGACTGTGCTTTTACATGAACGCTTTGAGTGCTTTCAGTGCCCACAGACAGTGCTCAACTTAGGCATCCTGTCTGTATCAAACTGAATTTTTCAAGTACATGAAGACAGTCACCGTTAATCCTCTTGGCAGTGGCAGCACTTGTCACCTCAGGACACATAGGAAGCCCAGGAATCCTGATCAGGACGAGGCACAACGTGACCTTTGGGGCTGAAAAATCAAACGCATGGAGGTACCAAAGTGCACGGTTTCCTTGAGTCTGCCCTATTGCAAGGCGAAGGTCTTTGGCATCATTACCACGTAACGTGGGGATAACCGCCCTCGATGGCTGAGCAGCATCCTCACCTGGGGGGCAAAGAGCCACCCAGCCCAGCCCAGCTGGGCACAAGCTGCCATGTCCAACGCAACGCGCGGCTGCTGCAGCTGCACGGGTGCTTCCCAGGCAGCGGCTGGAGCATCGGGACTTTGTCATCCGAGGTCGGCTGGTTGCGGATTCAGGGACAATTTCACAGGAGGGAAAAGGCGAGCACTGGGATCGGCGTGATCGAGCCCCGACACATCTACAGGCGCCTCCCCGCTGTGCCCGTTCCCTCATCTAGATGTTCGTAACCAGCATCACCAGGAGGAGGGGGAAGATTCCTGCAGGAGACAAATCAGAAGCTTCAGCCTTCACTGAACACCTTCAATGATCTTTTCCCTCCCTTTACCTTTCCCCCTACTTTTCACAGCATGATCTTAAAGCAACAATAGAAATACGACCATAACAGACTGGAGCGGAAAGCTTTTAAGCCTATTTCAAGGGGAACACAGAGGAGACAAGAACATAAAGAGAGTCAGGAGCATGGTACAGGGGTTAGGAACGTGGATGACTTACCAGCAATGATCATGTTCGCTCCACCTGGAAAGGAAGCGAGCCAAAATGTGAAACTCTGCACCTGCTCAGCACAGTAATTCATCAAACTACACAACATGCAGAATCTCAAATCAGAGCCAGTCCACGTGGAAGAGAATTCAAGCAACACACAGGACAGGACCCCTGCACAGCCCAGCTCTGCGGATGTTTATCTGTTAAAACCCAGATGTGTTTGCTAGGATAGATTTCCACCATCCTGTGAGCCCATCCCGCAACTTAACGATGCTCTCTTGGCACTAGATTTTAACTGAAACTGTTTCCAGGTGTATCAATAGCTTACTCCTTAACAGAATGATCTGATTTAAGGATTCACAGGGGAAGGAAAAAATATGTATTTTGAAGATAGAGAGGAGGCAGCAGGACGGACACAGGAGACAGGCACCTCTGCATTCAGGAGCGGGCTTGCTCCAGACTCCCCGGTCTCGATCTCCCGCAATACACCGAAGAAGGGCTGCTCCAGCAAGGGTGAAGCCATCGTTGCATTTATAAGCTACAGTGGAGCCGTGGGCAAAGCCAGTGCCCTTTGTGCCGTTGTGGCTCCCGTTGTCAATCGTGGGTGGCTTTCCACAGAGAACGGCAGGGAGCTGTTCCACAGGAGGAACATCCCCTTCGCATTCAGGCGTGGGCTTGCTCCAGACTCCATGGTACCGCTGATCGACTTTACAGTGAACAGAGGCTGCTCCAGCAAGGGTGAAGCCATCGTTGCATTTATAAACTACAACGGAGCCTTGGACGAAGCCGGTGCCCTTTGTGCCGTTGTGGCTCCCGTTGTCAATCGCGGGTGGCTTTCCACAGAGAACGGCAGGGAGCTGTCCTGTGGGAGGAACACCAAGTGCGTCTGAATACTTCTCCTAATTGACAAGGTGAAGAGATGTATGGGGAGAAGGAGGTACAGCCAAATGCCACGCAGCTAGCAGTGACTGAAGATACTTTGAGCTTTCTTGCTTGGTGCTGGACCTCAGTTACTGCCCATCAGCCAAAACTCCAGGATCTCACCCCAGAAAATAAGCCACTGAAGGGTCTAATCAGGCTAGAAGAAATGTTTCAGCTGTTTCTAGCTTCACATAACACTAGACACTGACTTCGTAACACTTGATTTCAGCATTATACCAAATTGAGCAGAGACAGTTCTAACATCCAATTATCTTCCTTTCCCTGGTAATTAGAGAAAGAAAATTTTCCTCCTGTGACTTTTTTTTCCCCCTCCAATTTCTGCTTTTCCCTTGCTCCTTCCACTTTGTCAGCATGATTTCTGAATTATATGAGAATATTGCACCTAAGGCCTGACAGCATTGGAATCCTGATTGAATTCAGCAGCACAAGTGAGTGCAGCCCCAGCCCCCCGGCAAGGCACTACACCAGCCCAGTCCCGACTCTTATCTTAATGCCTCCGTGCAGGCTTTTCCCCTCTTACTTTGACAGGATGGAGACGCTGTATCCCAATCAACTCCGCTTCCCGACACCACACATTTGGCAGAAGACGGCCCCTTTAATTCAAACCTAAAGAAAGAGAAGTTTAGCGCTTTCCACTGGAGACTTGCACTGGGAAACTGGGGGGGTTGGGGCAGTGGATGTGACTGCCTGTGGTCCCTGCCTTCGGACCCCCGAGTCGGTCCCTTTTCCGCGGTGACCCACTGACCCCGGATGGCAGGTGAACGTCACGACGGTCTCAAAGAGGAAACTGTCTGCGGTCACATCCCCGTTCTCTATCGCAGGAGGAGTACATGCCTGTCCTAAAGGAAATAAAACAGTGCAGGAATTCCTTCAAACTCAGGAATAGGTGAAACACCAGAGTCAGTAACATCTAGAGCATGCACAGATCACTCGAACGGTCAGGACAGGGGAGGGACGGAGATACTCACGTATACAGAAGTCAGGGTCTGCAGACCAAGTTGTGTCACTCAGACAAGTGACAAGAGAGGACTTTCCCTGTGCTGCTGTGTAACCCGGCTTACACCGATAGCTCAGCTCCGTTCCAGCAGGAGAGCTGTCACCCACAGCCCTTGGCAGCTCAGCGAAAGGGAAGCGTGGAGCAGGACCGCAGTAGACTGGCCATTGGAGACAAAAGCAGGGTGAGATACTGAGGAGTTCCCAGAGGGGCTGCAATAACAGCAGCCAACAGCACGTTTTGGAGCACACAGCATTTTAACCTGGTTCAGTGCCAGTGTCTGGGATGCAGTTTGCATCCAAACCATTCAGGAAACAGCAGCATATATCACAGTTTGATTAACTGGAGAAAAGATGGAGACAAGGCAGCAGCTCTGCCTCAGAGATGCTCCTTCACCGACCACCAGCCAACCTGCAGGACCAGCGATGCTCAGAGCCAAACGTCCCCAGCAGGGCTGGCAGCTGGTAAAGCAGCGGGTCAGGTGTAGGAGGCAGTTTTGCCTCTTCTTTCACTGCATTTTTGGATCATTTGCAGTTCACAAATAAATAGCATCAGGTCTAAATATATAACCGGCCAAGGACCCACGCCAGCATGCTCTGCAAGGGCATGGCTACAGGTGCACAAGGTTCAGCAGCTGATCTGCTCAACAGCTCTTAGACCTACTTCAGTGCTGTTGCTCAAGGAAATAAATTTGTTCGTACTCACTCGGGTCACACGTTGGCAGAGGTGGGTTCCAGTTACTGTCTGCTTCACAGGTGACGACACCACTACCATTCAGTAAATGACCAGGATCACACTCAAAGGTCACTGTATTTTTATACGTGTGCTCAGTGCCAAAGCCAGACAACCTTTTCCCATTTTTCACTTCTGGATTTTTACATCTGACCACTGGCAGTGAAGATAAGACAACAAGAATATTGATTACAAGAAGGAAAAGCCCTGCAGTGACACCAGAGGTACAACGCGAGAAGCTTACTAAGAGAACCGCCGTCCTCTCGCCCGGAGAGAGGCAGGTCCCCAGAGGGGTGGCAGTACCCCGTGAACAGAGACGGCACCAGGAAACTGCACACATGAGAGCTTCATTTTCCATTCGCAGGAAGCCCTGGGCACGGGGTGGGGAGAGGGAGGCTTTCTGTGGGCTGAAGAACCCATTAAAGCAAGCCCTGCCTCTGATCCCAACTCGGGAGATGACTGCTTTGAGCTTTCTGGGAATCCTTTTGGACTCAAATCAACCTCCTCATGGCTGCTCATCAGGAAAGTACAGACTGGGAGAGAGATGAGAAAAAGTCAAAAGAATAAGGAGAGAGAAAACACATTTACCTTTGCACTCAGGGGCTGGACCGCTCCATCTTCCCTCCAGGTCATCATCCGCCGTACAGTGAATCGTGGCGTCTCCAATAAGAGCAAAACCTTCGTTGCAGCTGTAAGTTACAGCCATCCCAAAGGTGAAGTCTCTGTCCCCATTGACGAGCTTCCCATTCTCGATCCCAAGAGGTGGTGAACAGGGAATACCTGCATGGGAAAGCAACAGCAAGAAAATGCAGGAACATTTCCATCAAAGATGACAACTGAGGTCTAGCTACTAAAACAAACAAAACCAAAAAACCCAACAACACAACAAACCCACAAAAAAACCTAACCCAAACAAACAAACAAAAAAAAGCCAAAGAAAAAATAGCAAAGCAACCCTAAAGCAATCATCTCAACCTTGAGTCTTGAAAGTGCCTTTAAATTCTGAATCTTTCCCAGGTTTGTTTGTTTTGGTTTTTTTTTTTTTTCAATGGATAAATGGTAACATGGCAAAACAGCATTTATGGTCCAAGAGGCCTTCTAGAGGCAATAAACATGGTCTCACCAAGCAGTTTGGTGCCCAAATAGCACCAACAAAACTCTTAGAATTTATTTCCCCTTTGAAAACTGAGATTTTGGGTGTGCAGTCATGTCTTTTTGCACAGATCTGACTGCAGAGCTGCTGCCAACATCCACAGATCCTCCTTAGTATTTAATTTTCATGCCCAGCTCCAGCGACGGTGCTTGTTTGGGGGAGAGGGAAGGACTCAGTCTCCCTAGAGGCTAATGTAGCTTGAATTAGCTGTCAAGAAGAGAGGATCCACCTGCCGCTCCCCAGACTACCAGATATGTTGTAATAGCTTTGGGGAAGAGATGTACACAAAACATTTAAGATCTGCTTACTGGCACAGTGTGGAATGCGATGCCAAGAAACTTCATTGTTTTCAAGCAGACATTGCGCAGACGGCTCCCCAACTAATCGGTACCTAGAAAGAAAAAAGGAGGAAGAAAAGTTTGAATGTCTTCAAAGCAAGTGAAAAAAAACTTGGGAAATTCAGAAAGTTGCACAGTTTCCATCTAATGCAGCTCAACCCTATGGGAAAATCTGTCCTATAAAATACAGTTTTCTCAGTACCTAAAGAAATACAAAATATGGTGCAGCCAGAGGAAACTTAATACTTGCAGCGGGTGGATACATGCTCACAGGAGCGTGAGCAAGACAGTGTCCCCACCCTGAGTCTGTTCAGCCCCGTGCTGTGCTGTGACAGCTTATTTTCTGAGCAGAGCTTAGGTGTGACCGACATACCTTAACTGCTCTCTTTCTCTCTCGCCCTGCTCCCCCCCTCCCCAGGACATCGCACCCCTCTTTTCTGAGACCCCTTAGCTACGACGGGGACAGCCAGACCCACTGCACAGCAGCAAATGCTGAATTACTAACAAGCCCCAACAGGAAAAGAACAAAACTCTTTGCAAAGCAGCCAAAAAGCAATCTGCAAGGACTGTGGCGTTGTGCCCAGAAGATAATCTGTTTTGACAGCAAGAGCAGGAGAGCCTGGCCCCACGGCTGCCCGCTCCGAACACCTCCAGCCGTGCCCGTGCTTGCCAAGGAAGCAGCCCCCAGGCATCAAAAGCCCCCGAGTCTCCTGCGGGGGCTGAGCCTCACCAGGAGCCTGGGCCAGCGCTTACCCGACGTTACAGGTGAAGGTTATTGTCGCCCCGAACAGGAGGTTGGTCGTGTAGTCAAAGTTGCCGTTCATGATGTCTGGTGGACCGCACGACTTTCCTGCAAGGGAAGTGATCAGCATGACATTTATTTTATAGCATGACAGTGAAACGCAGGTGACAGCGCTGTCCTGTGTTGTTACAGAATAATTGACCATTTCTCTGGCACCTAACTTCCCTCCTGAGCAAGAACCGGCACTTTCAGGAAAGATACGAGGTCCTCATTAACTTCTGAGGAACTGAAAGTCAAAACATTAATAAAAAGCAAAGAAAAGAACAGATAAAGCCAAGGACAAATAAAAAAAAATAGCCAAAGTTTATATGCTTACTGAGAAAGGAAACTGATAAAGAGCCCAGCGGGCTCAGGGCAGAGGTCTTGGTCCGCGGGGAAAAAGTGTGAAGGTGAAGGGGATGGGAAGGGACTCACTGACCACCCCAGGGACTCCCACGGCCTTTCCCACACCGTACCTCGCTTCTGTGTGAATATATTATAGGATTTACACTGTATCACCAGCTGGTAAAATAATTAAGAAGGGCAGAGATCATCTCCCAGAGAGTAACGTGTCTCAGCAGAAAGAGCAGCCCCAGGTGGGGTGAGCGCTTCTGCTCGACTGTCCTAAAAACAGGAACCCGAGGAGCATCCCCTCAACTGCGCTGAGCCCTGAGCATGGTCTGGGGTGCAGCTGGGGACATGCCACCCCCCTCACCCCCATCCCAGGAGCCCGTGAAGGTGGAACCCACCGATGCAGAAGTCTCCTTTCTCCTCCCAGCGGGAGCTGTTCAGGCAGGTGACCAGGGGGGACTCGCCC